CAATTGCTTACAAGATAATAGGTATAAGTAAAAACATAGTTATGAATACATGGATACATATAAGAAAACTAAAAAATAAAAGAAACAATAGGACAGAGATGATAGGCACATTGGTGCGCTTATGCACGCCCCCCCCCCCAGACCTCTTAGGAAAGGGGTGAGGTCAATAGTAGGCAGTGTAAGTGTTATGAATCAATAAAAGTAACTAGCATAAAATGCAAAGTAGGGTTTGAAGGCCTACACACCTGATTGGTCCTCAAACAACGAACAGGGATTGGTCAGGATGAGGCCACTCCTTATTGGTTATTATTTGAACTTATCACAAAGGTTATTGGTTAATAGGGTAGCAGCCAACCCTATAAAAGGGTTACTGCTGCCCATAGAGTTGCTCTGTTCTATTCCTATTCCTGTTATTATTAAAGAGTTGAAGTCACTGGTCAGATGTCTGGTCTCCTTATTCTTCGAACTTAACACTGGCGACGAGGATAGGATGCGGAGACCGAAGAGCTGACTGATCTACAGAGCAACCAACAGAGCACGTGGTCGAACACGCACTATCAACGGCAATCATGGCCAGCGGTGCCGTACCACCCGCTCCATTCAACCCAGAAACCGAAGACTGGGAGTCATACATGGATAGGTTCCAGATGTTTTTGGAGACCAACAACTTGAAAGATGCAACGGCCAGCAAAAAAAGAGCTGTTTTTCTAACCCACTGTGGGCCTACTGTGTTTAAAATGGCGAAGTCACTTGCCAAGCCAGCCAAAGTAAAAGCAATGGACTGGGATGTCCTCGAGCCTTTGCTACGGGCCCACTACGCGCCCACCGTGCCAACATTAGTCAGAAGGCATGAATTTTACCAGAGAGGCCAGCGGAAGGGCGAAAGCCTTGCCAACTACGTCGCAGACCTTCGAAACCTTGGAGGCCTCTGCGAGTTCTCCAACTTAGAAGAAGCCCTCCGGGACCGCCTAGTTCTGGGTTTAGAGGATTGCACAATCCAGAGCAAAATCATGGCTAAGGGGGACATCAGCCTTACCGATGCCCTTAAAGAAGCCTCGGCAGCGGAAGCAACTAAGAAGTCGGCAGCACGAATGCGCCATACCAGCGCACCGCTACGCCAACTCGCCGATGATACCTCGCCTCGCCCTGAGAGACACCCGGTATCGACTCACCACGAAGACCTAGAATCCCCATCAGAAAGTGACGAGGAAGAGGTCAACCGACTCCGAACTGAACGAGACCAGTTCACACAATGCTCAAATCGACCTTGCGCAGGATGTGGAGCGAGTCACCCACGATCCAGCTGCAAATTCCTTGACGCACTCTGCCGCGTTTGCGGTAAAAGAGGTCACATCGCAAAGGTTTGCAGAAGTAAACAAGCCTCCAACTCCAAACCCCGACAGGCCGAATGCCA